TGGGTCCTTGGAAGCAATATATAAAGAAATGAGGGGTGGCTCAGGAAATTTGCACAGTAGTGTATATGAGTTATACTTAGAAAATAAAAAGATGAATGTGAATTGTTAGGAACCACTACATTTTTTTCACCATAAATCATAGTAAATCACTGAAAATGACACATCAGAAAGTGTGTCAGAAGGCGATCATAAACTAATATTTAATTTATTCTGTACAAACATGAAACTTGCTATTTAGGGCTTGTCACATATTCATGAGTTTCCTGCAGCTTGCACAAGATTTTGCAGATGTGGAAATAAGCCATGGCTTCCTTCACAACAAATCCAAAACAAAACACAGAGCTCATTCACTACCAAAACTTACCAAGTGTTTACACTCATATCGTCAGATTAAAGTAAAGCAGTATTCACTTTGGATCTTGTATAGATTAAATCCTTACAATTCTTTAAAAATGTATATACATTATTCATTATAAAAATAAAGTTCTAAACTTGATTTTAAAAAAAGGAAACAGCATTTTTCTTCAACCTTGACAAAAGTCTTTTCTTTTGCTCGTCATGTAAAATTATTTAAGGTAACGTGTGTCTTCTGTTTGATAAACACAAAGTAGAAGGACAGTTGATCTTCACAACTGAAACATAATTCCTAATTTTCCTTTGTAGCAATGAAAAGTCACGAGTTCGGGTTTCATTCCAAAAAGAGATATCCAAGGTACTGTCATTAAGTCATTTACAGATAAAGTGACTGCTCAGTGAAAAGTAATTTACTATGATTTGAGACGTTTTTACTTTCCCCATGTTTTCCAAAAATGGATATGTAGCATTTTGGAATGAAAATCCTCAGTTGCTAAAAACACATTGCCAGTGACATACCAAAAACAACAAGATAAATGCTTTAATGTGTCAGTATTTTTTTTTAACAGTGGAGCCACAAATATCTAATTCAAATGGGAATATATGATTACTTTGATACATTTGCATTGCTGTGGTTTTCTTTCTTTTCCTATAAGATGAGATAAAAGGTGATGTGTCTGGTTTAGTTTGACAGGAAGTTCACTTGAATGCTATGTTTTGCCTTCTGTAAACGGTATAATTGTTAGTGTCTCAGCACAATCTAGGACCCAAATACATGCTCTTTTGATTTTGTAAGGGACAACATCAAGGCCATGTTTTCACCTAAGCTTTTCAGGAAATGCTCCATCTTTAGCTCAACATTTAGTTAACCTTCTGAATCTTTTTGAAACATTCATAGAAAATAACACACAAACTAGTTTTCATCTCCCTGTTTATGGTCTTGACTGTCCACCTCTGCCTTGCTTACTAGTCAACATATGAAAATAAAATAATATTTAAAATTTTGGAATTTGAATAAAGCTTTAATCAGCAGGTTTCATGTCTTCTTTCTATACAGTTGAGAGACTGGAGCTGATGCATTCCTGGTAATATGCTGTATGTTAATACTTAGCAAATACCAATTTATCCAAAAATACTTGTATGTAGAAACGTTTTTAAGACTGAGGATTAAAGGCTTATACCATCTTTTGGACAAAAGACAAGCCAGTCCCTGTGTCAAGATTCCATTTCCTGTCTCTGTTTATTAACTAAATTACTAGCAGAGGATAAGACATGTGCGGAGCATACTTTGAATCAGGTGTGAAAGATATTGTGTATCTTCCAGAGGCCAAGGACAAGATTTTGTTGACAATGTGTCAGAGATCCTGTTCATACGACGACCTTTTTGAAGTACCAGTGTGTTGTACTTCTCATTCAAAATTTCTCTCAATGGACCCCCCACAGTCATTAAGGTTGTTTTGTCACCAGTTTGCTTAACTCAGGCACCCAGTTCGACCTCAATCCTCGTATCTCCTCTCCTAGCCACCTCCACTTCCCATTTCTTTTTTTTTCTTTCTTTCTTTTTTTTTTGTGTCCCGTTTGGATCTTTAGCCATCAGAATTGTTGTCTTAAGGCCAAGAAAGATGCCAAGCGGATTTATTTTACCAAGTGGATCATCATGGCCTTGCCATATTGGTCCATTTGATTGACCTTTATTGTAATTATGTATTTATTTTACAAACGGGACAGACATGACTGGGGGATAGGACAGGGAGAAAGAATGAAAGAAAGAGAGGGAGAGAAAGAAAACCAAAGGGGAGAAGAGACGGTGAGAAAGGGGGGAAGAAAGAAAGAAAAACAAACAAAACACCTGGATCACCTGTATGGAGAAAAAAAAAAACAATAAACTAGCTAGCAGTAGATAACAGTAGATACTAAACATTAAACGATATTGTGCAGCACGCAAGATAGACAGCGCGCAATGTGCTTTGAGGCAGCAGCCAAGAAAGGTGTAGTCCACGTCTGTGAACACCCGTGTGCACACCTGTGTGGATCAGCATGCTTGTATTCCAAAGGTTTCTCCATGTAACGATCTGCTAGGGAGTGTGGGGAGCCATAGCCCCGTCCCCCAGGGCATGAAGCAGGTATGGAGGAGATCCAGGCCCCAGATATCCAGAGGCCCCAGAGTTTGTTTTTTATTCCTTTGGCTTGACTTTCTACTAGGAAGAACTGAAATGGGAAGTGGGTCCTCCACTTCCCATTTCAGTCCTGGGTTTAAATACTCAATCTTGCCATTCAGTCACTTCGGAAAGGCATTTCTGTACTCACATATTTGATGAGGGACCAGTCGCTTACAGCTCAGTCTGTAAGGATGGATATGTTGGACATCTTTCAGCTTTCAGAATTCAGGAGAGAGCAACTGTGGTACATGGGTACTATCGTTACTACCAACTGTTTACAGAACAAGCCCTTTGTGCGCAAGGTGGTTTGTGCTACTGTACTGAAATAACTATCTATTGTTATTGTAGTGTAGAGGTTAGTAGCAACCAACGTTATCGCTGTGCCTCAGAACTTGTCCCTGAAAAGGAATTGACTTTTTTGAATCAGAATCAGAATCAGAATACTTTATTGATCCCTGGGGGAATTTACTTTTTTGAGACACCACCTTCAAATGAACATACATTGATAAAACAATTAACCTCTTCTCAATCGATTAACTATTAATTTGGGGACTTTAATGAATGAGTAAAACAATCAAATCAAGAAAAGTTATTAATTTATCAGACCCACGAAATATACGAAATTACTTATTTGAAACTGGTTAATAATTAAATTTAAAATTACATTTAAAGTTATATCTGAAAAGTCAGTAACGATGAGGGATTTGAGAATTGTGTATACCAGCCGTGGTCAACATCCTCCTATACAACATTAATTACACCAGGATATGTATTAATGAGAATTTATTTACAATAGTAATGACTGCAAACATGCAAAGATCTAACTAAGACTAAGAGAACAAAGTATATGTGTGTTTGGGGGACTATGTTTGTTGACTATGTCCTTGCAGTTCTGTAAGGTGGTTGAACATGTGGTCAAAGCCAAATAAAAGGTGTGATCCTGCTTACATGTGTTGCTGTTGTTGCCCGTGGTAAAATTAGCTGCTGTGGCTAACTTGAACCTTTTTTTTAACTTGGTTATGGTGGATACCAGCTAACCTTCTGTAGGACATGCATCGCTGCAGTCAGAAGACTGTTTGCAGAGCATATGATAGAGAGGTTGGGGGAGTGAAGCAAAGCTCTCAGGTCCACACATACACCCATGGCAATCTTTTCCATAATCGATAATTAATGATGACAATTCCTTTTTTTAAGCTTGGTTTTGTTTTGCTTTGTTTTGTTGTTTTCTTTGTTTTTCTCCCCCGCTGAAAAAAATGGTGGCCAGCAATTACTGCAAGTTGATTTTAGAAGGTTATAGTTTATCGGCCTGAGTTCTGCCCAGACAATAAATAATAGTTTAGGAGAGGGCTCCTACCAGGCTCTGCAAGATACTTGTTTACTGATAAGCAAGGCAAAGTTGAACACCGCTTATTTGAACCTGTCCCATACAGAAACATAGGAGAACGATATGCATTGGGGTTTTTTTTTATATCATGATACTGCCATTGATCTTAAACATAAGGGCTGTTTCTCTCAAGACTCTATGGCATCATCTTCTTTGTGCCTCTTTCATACAGATCAAACTTCTGTACACTCCAAAATTGGCATTCCAGCTTTAACTGGAATTGAAATGTTAAGTGTCTTGTGTCTTGTCTCTGTAAAGGGTTGACTTATAAAGCATTCAATTAAGTATTTTGTTTATAACATGCTTAAACCATTGTACATGTTTTATTGTGAAGAATCTGTAGATGACTGCAAGCAGACGTAGAGCTCTAGGTTATGTACACTTTTTAACTAAGCGAAAGTTTGATACAGAAAGCAAAGACTGTTAAACCTGATGATTTTCTTACAGGTATTGAGCCTTTCTCAGAAATTAGATATTAGATATTTGTACTTGTGTCTCTGGGAATTTCAGAAGTTTAACTTGGTTTAAAAAATAAAACTGTTAGTTTTCATGTTACAGAATCCAAAAATCTTTTATTGCTAGTGTTTTCAGTGCTTGAACAAATTAAAGAAACACTTAAATCACTGATTACATGGATCTTAATTACTGATTCTTACTATCAGTAAGTAATTCTTACAGATATACAACATAATTTGTTGAGAACAACGGGAAAATCATAGGAAACCAAAATCATCAACGCATT